GCACAGCTTGATCTAAAGGGTTTGGGATGAGATGTTTGTAAACAGCTAAGTTATATCTCAATACGTGCAATTAATGAATCCTATTTACAGTTACTGAATGAAGAGACCGAGCAGTTGTCAAAATTTCAGCGTTCTTTTGAGATGCTCTTCCATTCACGACAAACTAATTTGCGTCTTTGAAGGATTTTTCCCCCCTTTCAAGCCAAAGGGGTTATGCACTTGTTTGTCAGCATAAAGCTGAAGTTCAAGCACAAGCGAAGAGAGCTCAAAGATCAAATCGCAGCCTTAGGAAGAACCACAGGATCTTTTTGCAGACACACTACACAAATGACTCAGTGTCTGTCCAGTGTGCCAGTGTGTAATTGACGGTTGTGGATAAGTTATAGTACATATTTTACATATCCTTTTCCAGCTTTTCTTTTATCTTAAGGGCATCTTTGGGGTATTCACTGTGCACTAGACTATAGGGTAAATCATCTCTTTATTTCTTCATAATCTGCAGTTCAGGTGACAGTAAAGGTTATTTTTCAAGTCAGGAGTGGGGTTAAATTTCTCTTGCCCAGTGCATAATTCAGATTTAGTTTGGTTAGTCATTTAGTTATTTTGGTTGGATTGTGTCTAACGGTGGCAGCTCCAGTTATTTTGGTCGAAGGTAGCCCAAAATAGTGGCACCACCAAAACTGTTTTGGATATGGCAGATTTGGTGTGTGTGTGTGTGTGTGTGTGTGTGTGTGTGTGTGTGTGTGTGTGTGTGTGTGTGTGTGTGTGTGTGTGTGTGTGTGGCAGTAAATAGAGACTTAAGAGACAGCTGAAGATACAAGGATGTTCTTAAAGTCTTTGGGTGGTCCAACCTCTCCGGGAGATTCAGCCTACTTTTTGACAGTGCCAACACCGAACAGTGGTCATTATTAGCAGACAAACCAACCCCACCAGGCTGGGATTACCTTCCAGCCAACTGCAGATGTGAACGTCTAAACAATTCTCCCACTCTGTTTTGACATGCTCTATTACAGGTTTTGCATCCTACACCAGATCCAGAAAAAAATTGACAGCTAAATGAAATCATTCATTTTCTGGTCTGATGTCATCCAAAAATTGCCATAATTGCCCAGGCCTGGCGTCTCTGGTCTGTGACTGGCAGAGACACCAGCACTGGGCGAGGTTCACGGAGAGGAAAGTAGACTGGTGGATATTCCCGGTTGGATCTGTGTTAACTCTTTGTCTGTTAAAGCATGTGGGATGTACAGTACAGTGAGGGGTGCAGGACCACTTTCTTCTGTCTGCTCGGAAATCAAGCAAAGACAAGGCAGGACTTGATGTGGCCAGACCCGAGAGGATAATGATAGACTCTGAAACCCTGGGGCAGAGGCTCAGGATACTTCAGTACAGTGTATGGGAATGCACACAGATGCAGTTATGTAACCATGTAGAGCCTGAGAGCCACCGGGAATCCAGAGTGAGGGGAAATTCAACGACTGCACATAACATCAGGGGACTATTCCTTTCTGCAAAATCCACATCTCTGCTGTCTCAAGGAATAACAATCTTTCTTTTATGTGTATTGGTTTCTATATGTGCATCTCCTTTGCAGTGGTCAGAAGAAGTATTCAGATACTTTACTTCATTAAAAGTAACAATACAGCAATGAAAAATACTCTGTTACAAGTAAGAGTCCTGTATTCATAATTTTAAAAAGTAAAGGTACTTTCTTGTTAGTAGAAAATTGTAATTTAAGGTCCACTAATCAATATTTCAATAACAACAATGGAACAAAAGACTACGTGTTAAATGAAAAAGCTCACTTATAATGACACACCCATATATTCTTATCAGCAACTTTGCAGTTCCCCTTAGTTTCACAGAACATTTTAGTGTCTTTCAGCTCCTTTTTGGGGTTTAAAGGTGGGGTAAACAATTCTGGGGAAATCCAATATCATGATATAGTGTGAACAACAGCAAGTTATGTATCTAACATTATCTACGTTGTGGGTTTATAAGTTGTTGCTAAAGTTGCTGCTGCTAACCGAGTGGACAAGCCAGTTCCCAGACAGCGATACTCACAACCTTCCTGCTACTGTAGCTAACATCACAACAACAACTTATTTTGGCAAACTATAAGTAAGCTGAATGTCTGTGGGAAAGTAATTTAACGTTACCTGACACACAAATCCTGGCTGGAATAACAAGTTAGTGTTGTGTGACTCGGTCTGATCCGCTTTGTTTGTCTCCCATTTACAGAGCCAGGACTGTGTACAACCACTGGATTTTCTTCAGTGCCCACACAGCAGAAATCTAGCAGACCGCGAGGAGATATTCACTGAATTTGAAAAAAGTGTATTGGATTAGAATTGCTTACCCCACCACAAGTTTACTGCTTTGGTTCACTCTCAACATTCATAAGCAGGCAACTGTTTTCAGCAAACAAGCTCTGATAGACCTCCTGTATGCTACCTGCTCAGCAAACAACAGAGACAGTTAGCGACGAGCTGGAGAACAAAGTGAAGCATTCAGTCACTAAAGAGCCAGATATTTCGCTCCAGAGTTGGTAGAAACCAAAAATAGAGCTAAAAGAGAGTGAATATTGGACGTCCGGTGGATGATTAAATAAACCACTGCTTGCTAACAAGTTTGCAATATAAACTTTATAGTGTCAGGTCATTAAATAATTAACTGTATATGTCAATGTTGTGATTGTAGCTTGTTTCTGCTGTTCCACAGGTACTAAATGTACTCATTGTGCAAAAAAACAGATAGTACGTGTTATACATTATACTACGATCAATATGACTGATAAATTCTTAGTATTTTACTGTTGTTGAGGGTGCATGGTGCTAATTTTACCTGTTGATTATTTCTATATGGAATATTTTAGATGATCAAATATTTGTAAAATAATCTGACAAGTAACTAGCTGAGAGAAGTAAAGAGTACAATAGCCTCTGAAATATAATGAAGTAAAAGTATAACTTAGCATGAAATAGGAAAACACAAGTCAAGTACCTCAAAGTTGTACTTCAGTACAGTACTTGAGTGAATGTGCATAGTTTCATTCCACCATGCTCTTCTAAAGATGGAAGGAAATTTGTATAATTATTAATAATTTGTGCATTGGTATAATTTGAGGTTTGAGAACAAGGTTGGTGGTACAAGGTGGACACAGAGTTCTTTTCTCAAGACTGAAGATCAGACAGTTTATTTACTTTGAGCTTCTGGGAAAGGGGTCAGAGAGCTGCAGAAAGGGGGAGAAGCCCTTTTTTGAGCCCCAAGCTGAAGGGTTTAGTACACATAGTTAAAGGATGATGTTGCGGGTTGATCTTGATCACTGGTTCTTCCTCTTGGCCTGCTTCCCCTCTTACCTCACGCTGAGCTGTCCCACTTCTCGAGTTGGCCGGCAGTACCTCTACCTGCCAGACACACTAGCTGTCTTCAGGCGGAGGTTGCGGCGGGTTATACACTCAGCTCAGCCTGTTGTGTAAGAGCGGTGTAAAGAGATAATGCTCTTTGCTCAAGACAATCTTTTAGACTGTACTTTCACTTGCTGTCATCACACAGTTATCCACAAATCCCTACACCACAAACATGAGTGTCACAGTTTTCTCTTGGATTCTCTTGGACATTGATCATGTTTTAGGGTTTAAAATCTGAACACACGGTTGTATAAAAATCCACACACTTACACTTTACCTTTAGGGCAGAAATGTAAGATTTCAAGCCAATACTGTTCTGTAATGATATGCAATTATGTTAGAGAGCATTGCTGTCTACATAAACTATGTCCATATAAACTGTTGGGTATGAATACATTTCCAGACAGAGAAACCCAAACCAATTAAAACCTCACGTTTTCATTGCACTGATATTTGATCTAACTTCAAAAACAAAGTTTTGGAACTTGCATCTCATGTCCTCGCTTCCCACAACCGTCGAGGCACCCAGCAGCAGGGACCTTTTGGAGATCTGAACTGTAGCGCGGCTCAGTTCCCGGCGGACTGTGGGAGTAAACTTTCATGCCTCTCAGTTCTAGGAGTGTGTTTTCCCTGCAAGAGATTTTCTATGAAAACAGTCTGTGAGTGATTGCTACCAAGAAGTTGTCAGACGTGATATATAAACACATTTTTACAAGGGTACCGAGGACCTTGTGGAGAGCACTTGCTCGAGTAACCTCAAATAATTTCATTTTCTGGATATTTGTCTGAGTGACCTCAACTAACTCACTGTATATACCACAAGGCTGTGAGCAGCATACACTTTTTCAATTGCTGGCTCAAGTAAATAATCATTCCAGTTCAATATTAGGATAGTTAAGTATCACTTCAAACACTGGGTTTCTTGGAAAACAGACTATAGTTTAACATTAAATGTTCCGCAAACAGGTTTCTTGGAAAGTAAAATAAAATTAAAAAAACAATTGAAAGAGCTTAATCTTTATAAATCGGTTTTTGTGCAAAAGGAAATCTAAAGTGAACTCTCATGAGAGTCTGATCAGTTGGCCTGTGAAGTTGTTATAGACTTAATTCACAGCACCCTCTGGTGGCAAACACGTATAAACGAAGCCAGGAACCGATTCTTTTACCACATTAACTTCATTTTGTAAACGAAAGTGAAAATCTTTCCGGATGTTTAGTTCACATCTGCACTCTGAATACCACCTTTAATGCCTTTTAAACCCTATTTGATCTGTGTTACTTAGTGCTGAAGTTGTGATTGAGGTAACAGCCATGCAGTAAACTGTGATCCAGTGTCAGGCTACAGTTGCCAGCAGCAACTGGTGTGCAAACAACTGGCGAGATAATGCAGCCAGATGACAGAGAAATATCCTACACAAAACAGAACGCAGCCAATAAGATTTAAAAAAAAAAAAAAAATACAGTCGCTGATTGGCTGCATGGATCGTACAAATAAGGACGTATTTAAAGAGTTTGACACTTTGAAAGAACTTTACATGAATCCCCTTGAGAGTTAGATATTTATATTGTCCCATGTGTGTACCACAGGGTCTATATTTAGTTGTTGTCATGTGTCGAGTTGGTCAGCTGGGGTCCAACTGCAGGACACGCCTCTGTGCTGAATGGAGCGCGCCGTGCGTAAAGTCCGACCTGCAGCGGATCAAAACTTTTTTCGCTTCTTTTCACAGTTTTTTTACAAGTTATAAATCGACGTTATTGGTTCGTACTTAGTCGAGTAAATGCAGCGATGACGCGAGAGGAAGATCTCATTCGGATTGCAAAGAAACTGGACAAGATGGTGTCTAGAAATAACACGGTGAGACTGTATTTTTGACACCCACAGGTGGCGCGTTGTCCTGCCACCTCGTGCTGCGCAGAAGGCCCGTGAATTCAAATGCTTTCCTGCAGGTTTACGCTGAAGATAAGTGTGACTTCTGCCTGAATCCATGTATTTGGAGAGTCTACACATTTGTAATATGAACCCGACTGCACTGTAACAAATGATCAACAGGTGTTTGGCGCAGTTTTGCAGACGTTTCGCTCGCAGGACGTTTCGCTGTCCGAGTGTCCAGCGCCCTGTGGGTCAAGTTTTGTCCACTTGTTTGCAACTTTTTTCGCAAATCTTTTCCTGGTGGTCATATTAACCAGTGACTCATGCAGCAGAAAGTAAACACCGCGGCCTGTGGGCAAGGTCGTGTGTGTGTGTTGTGACTGCAAACAGGACGCTGTTCAATGGCGCTCTTGCACAGTTCGAGTACTGCAAACGATAACGTAGCAGTCACTGAAAACTACGATTTACAGCGTGTGATCAGAATAAAGCAAAGCGCCACAGTCATGCTTATTTGATGACTGCTGTTAGATATTCTTTGAATTTAAAGAATCAATATTTATGGTTTTAAAATGTTGCTAAAAACGTAAATAAAAAACAGAAGTGAAACTGTGCTTACTTATCAGTTTGTGGTTTCTTTTTGTGAAATATTCACATTTGCATGGTGTCAAATTATTACTGATTTCTAAATAAACACATTCAAGATTTATAGTTACAGACAACATCGTTTTAGACTTTAACTGTTTTGTGTGTGCAGGAGGGCGCCATGGACCTGCTGAGGGAACTGAAAGGTTTCAATATGACACTCAAACTTCTCCAGGTAGGCTCCAGTATATTATGTTAGATCTATTCACAGGGTTTGTTTATAAAAGAGGACACTTTTATCATTACATAACACAACTATGACCAATGCATGATCATTAAAGCTTATTTATTTATATATATGTGTGTGTGTGTGTGTTTGTTTTAGGAAACGAGGATCGGCATGTCTGTGAACAGTATCAGGAAGCACTGCACAGATGAGGAAGTCATCGCCTTGGCGAAGGTCCTCATTAAAGACTGGAAAAGACTTCTGGGTATTTGACTTGATACATGATTAACATACTTGTATGATTTACAGAGCAGTTAGATAATTGTTTGTGCAGTAAATACAACAGTGAACTGACTGATATGATTAATTCAAACGCTCACACAGACTCTGGCCATTCTCAGTCTGAGAAACCATCAGAAATGAAGAATGGTTTGGACTCCAGCAAAACTGCAGTGTCTCCAAACAACTCACCCTCTGAGACACAGAGCAGGTCAGTACTTCCTTCACCGGTGACATTATTATTGAACACAGAAGCAGAGACATTAATAAATAAAGTTGTGTTCAGTATCAGCACACCTTCCTGCTGTCTAACTCAGTGCGGTGAGTGTGACCTAACTGCTTTAAGTTCATCAAAAAAATTACATGAAATAATGATGAAAGTGCAAACTTGTCATGAAGTTCATACCTGCCATGGTGCACCACACTAAAACTACAGTATTTGTAGATGTGAAATAATTATAAACTACAAAACTTGGAAAATACCTCAACCCAGATGCAACAACAGCTCCGCCAAAAAAAAAAAAAACAGTGAGAAGATGAAAAAGTGTCAGTGTAGCAGCATATCCAGAGGTAAATTAGTAATTGTTTCAGGATGATGTAAAATGATGTAAAGGCATTTGTTTCTTTCATTGCAGTAGGCGCTTTTAAATCACTCTATTTTCACCTCTCTGTCATATAAGTAGCTATGCATCATCACATTGAAGAAGTACAATTTTCTACCCATAAGCAGCTGTAAGTGGACTTGTGTCAAGTGTCATTCTTACATGCATTATTGCTCTACAAGAGAAAATATATAAATCCCTGGAGTGAGCAGAAAATGTCAGGAGTAGGACGATCTCTCAGGTGTCAGACAAACACAATATTCAGCACCAAAGATAATTCTTTAATGGTAAGAATCAAAATACAAACTATAAAAGAAGCATCAAATGTATTAATCTGTTCTAAGTAAATTGTAACAAATGGTTCTGTGTATGCTTGATGGGAATTATTGTGATCAGATGAGGAAATCAGAAATGCACCTTAAAGTCTCAGCACACATGATGACGGATGCTCCTCTTGCTGATGCTGTAATTTATTTTTCATGGTAGCAATTTTTACAAGCGCATATAAAGGACATTTTTAAGAGGCTATGAAAGTAGTGATATCCTTCTGTGTGTTTTTTGCATCATGTTTTTTATCCGAAGCACTGAATTCACTGCTAAATTACAGCTCAATTACCTGGTATTTGCATTTTGAAAAATCCCTGAATGTGTACAGTTGTGTTAACTGTTACTGAATAAGTAGAAATATAACATCACTCATCAGTGAACTCATCCAATGAAGTAAAAAGTACTCTCGCAAGCTCATCAAATTAGGTGTTGTAGTGTAATGGGGAAATGTTTTTAATTTGAATCTGAATGGAGCCTGAGTTGCATTAAAGTAACAAAACTGACGTATGTGAAACTCAGTATCTGCTGGCTTATGAACAGAGGTAAAAATGATACTTCCTTTGTTTCTGTTAGTCACAGGAAACTGGATGTCAAACTGAAACACGACTCAGATCCTGACAAAAAACACTCCGATAAAAACAGAAAAGAAAAACATAACGATGAACACAAAAACAAAAAGAGAAACGCAGATGACCTCACAGATGAAAAGCACCTGGAGGAGCCCCAACTTGAGAAACACCCCCAAGAAATGAGAAAAGAGAAGCATGTAGAAGAATCCAAGAAACAAAGACCTGCAGAGGATATCCAACTGGAAATAGATAACAAGAAACAGAAGCATATGCTAGACCTGCAGAGTGACAAACACAAGCCAGATCCGAGGAGAGAGAGACCGCTAGAAGAACCAAAAAAGATGAGACACAGTGAAGAAGTGAAGAAGGAGAAGCACCCAGAAGAACCCAAGAAGCACAGCCACACAGATGACAAGAAGGACAAACACAGAGAAGTAAACAGACATGAGCGGCCGTTAAACCCACCGCAACGAGAGCGACCGCCGAGCGAACCCCAGAGAGAGAAACCTGCTGACGTTCACAAACCAATATTTGAAAGGTGAGAAAAAAGAGGCTCAAAAATGGGTTGTTACACATCAAAAACACCCAGCAGAGCTTCAGATTGAATTATTTATTTTAGGAGAGGAGTGTTGGATAGCAGTATTCTGTATCCCACCCGGTTCCCCTCTCCTCCTCGACCGGCTCGGCCTGTTTTCCCCGTCAAACGCCCCTCTGTGGACCTGAAAAAAGACAGGTCAGGACTCTTAACATCCCCTGAGCTGAAGAGCGTTACAGACTGACATGTTCCTGTTGATACTGCATGACATAACAGTTTCTGAGTCACTCAAAAGCACTGACATTTGTTCCTGCAGTTTTATAACCAGACTCGTGGCCTAACAGGATACCTGCTGTGCATGGTGCATGCTGTGATGGGTCGCTCAGGTGTGTCTTTATTAAAAGGACTTCGCTTGAATTGCATGCTGCCTCATCGGGGACTCTTGAGTTGCAGTGCCCTGATCTGTACTGTTGTGACATTTGTTCAGGAAGGATGTTAAAGACTCTTCCTCCCGACATCCTCGCCCTCATGCTCCTCAACCCGCCTCTCCTCCGGTCAGGCGACCTTCCCTGGAAGTGAAGAAAGAGAGGTCAGGCCGTACTTTGGTTTGTGAAACGATTTTTAAGTTCAGAGAAGTGTGAAATTGAGATTTTAAGGGATTTCTCAAACAACCAATGTTGATTTTCACACCAGGAAAGTTCCACTGGACCCAAACACACCAATTGCTCCTCTTCCTCTTCACCTTCATCCTCCTCCACCAAGGTCAGCGTCTGCATGCCCAATGCATTGCCTCACATTTATATTCACTCTCACAGTGAAGTGATTCAGCTCAGCTCAAAGGTGTACTTTCATTTAGAAAAGAGCCTCCTGATCCCAACGCTCCTCTTCCTCCACTTCCTCTTCACCTTCACCCGCCACCTCCTCCAAAGCGTCCTTCAATTGATGTGAAAAAAGAGAGGTCTGGATCAGATGAGTTCTCATTACAAACTGCATGTAGTCACTGCCTTGGTTATTTTGGAAAAAATAACCTGTAATTTCATTTGGACTTTTGCATTGAATCCTTGTGTTGTTTGCCACAGCAGGAAGGATTCATCAGACTCTAAACCTCCTTCACAGAAGAAGGCGTCAGATCATGTGAAGAAAGACAGGTCCGGGATCTGGGATTTATTCTTTCTCTCATTCAGCCTTGAACATTATTTTGCTGTTGTCTCTGGAGGATCAGTGGCCTCAGGCTCTAATCTCTGTTTTTCATTTGTTTTACATGAACTGTTGACACAATATAGTGTCAGTGTATGACAGTAATGGTATTGGGAGGTTTCAGTGATATTTTTCTTTTTATACAGCTACAAAGGAAATTCCAAATAATATTTGGGATTGTTATAGATTGAGCTACGTCTTGAGTTTCGGTTCAAGTTTATTGAACACTTTTGACAGTATAAACTTTAATATAAGTTTAAAGTATAAGCTTCAGTTTTTTAAGTAACCTATAGAACTTATTAATTCCCTCATTTATTAAATATCCTGATTAGGAAATCTCTGGACATTCACATCCTTAATTCAAACTGGTATTGTAACTCTCTGTAAAAAGAACAAAGAGTCCAAAGACTGTTTTATTTTTGCAGGAAAGACTCATCGGATAGCAAAGTGTCTAAAAAGCACTCTGATGAAGCCAAGAGAGAAAGGTTTGCGAGTCATGAGTGTGACAATACTTGTTAAGCTGTGGATGTGACACATGGTGGTTGCAGGTCTTTGTCGGTTTTCAGTGCATGAGGGCGCTTGACTTTTTATACCTTTATTGTCCTGTGAGTGGATTTGTTTGAGTATCAAACAAGTGTTTCCTTTTGTCAGGAACGATTCATCTGACTCTAAACCGCCTCCTCCCAAAAAGCCCACTGTGGATGTCAAAAAAGAAAAACACAGGTGTGCACGAGCAGGAAAATAAATTCCACTGTACACTGAATTTTTATTTACGCTGCCTGACATAATCCCAAAGGTGTTTTTTATGATTTAAAACTCTCATTTTCTCTCTTGTTGCAGGAAGGACTCCTGCGACTCAAAGCCTGGCCAACCTGTGAAACGTCTCTCAATTGACTCCAAACCTGACAGGTAGGACTGGTATGCAGTACTTTAAATCTCACTCATACCTGAAAAGGAAATAGAAAAAAACATTATCAATAAATTGGTTCTATTTTATACCAGTTTAACATTTATACCGTGATTTTAAAATATTTGGTTTTGAAAGGAGACTATGTTAAAGTTGTTGGCATATCTTTTATGTTGCAGTTTGCACAATCAAATTCTTTTTTATGATTCCTTCATATATTGTATTTTGTGGGGCCATAAAACTATAATCTTTTTATAGTCTTATGTAATCCTGACAGAACAATAAGACATTATAAACCTAAAGGCAACTTCATTTACCGTGAAACTGCCAGAAAATTGTTTTGGTCGTACCACTCTGCACTATAATTAATCCAGATTTACTTAAAGAGTCTCATTACTGACTGTAGGCGGGAATCGACTGATTCAAAGAAAAGCAGCTCGCCACCAGCAAAGAAGCTAACAGCTGAAAGGTAAATGAAACAGAAACAAATTCACCAAAGTAATGACCACATGGAAAAAAAATGTTTTCACAATAAGGTTTCACTGGTTTGTTTCAATGGTAAACATGATGATGATGAAGATGATGACTTTGTATTGTAGGAGAGAGTCTCACGGCTCCAAGACCTCTCAGGCTGGACCTCCACAGAGGAAGCCCTCTACTGACAGCTTTGAAAGGTATTTCAATATGAAGTCATTGTAAATTCATTATGATGTATGCTGATGATACTCATGATTATTTTTATATTCAATTAATTTAAAGTTCACTCATTTTAAGTAAGGAGGGCCATTTTCTGAAATATAAGATTGATGCCTAATTAGAGAATAATCACGAGACTCTTTTCAAGCAGCAGCCAGATGTTTTAGGAAAAAAACTCCTGCCCAGCATCAAACAACAGACAGTTGGCAACTATTTGGTGAACACAGTGGAGCAATTAGCAGCTGCTGAGTCAGATATTTACAGTCAGGAGTTGGTGGAGACCAAAACCAGAGCTAAAAGAGGACTTCCAGAAACACTGTAATTATGTCTGTTAAATAAGTAATTGTTTGCTAACATGTTAGTCATATCATCTTCATAAGGAGATAATATGTCAGTGTTTTGTTCTGCTGTCCCTAAGTGCACCAAAACATTTTTGTGGGATTTTAACACAGTTTGGTTTTATACATCTACTTATTGAGATTTAATGTAAAAATGTTCATAATAGGGTCTTAAAAATGAAATACTAACATATGATTCATATCTTTGGTTCAGATTAGACACCTCTCTTTCCTGAGGTCAAATCAGACTAAATACACCAGATGTGACACTTAAACACTGGATATGATTGTTTTGATGTGTCCTTCTCTGCAGAAAGGGCAAAACCGATACCCCTAAAACTCCCACCACCCCGACCAGCCCCATGTCACCCAGCTTCAGTTCTGCTGGGGGTCCACTGCCCCCCCACCTCGCCACCGGAGAGTCCGTCAGAGACAAGTGCATTGAGATGCTTGCAGCTGCCCTGCGGACTGACAGTGAGGCTAAGATTGCATCTGATCACCAAGATCACACAATCCAGCAGCTAATATGCTCTGAATATGTTACACAGACTGTTTAGTGGAACATACTACATAAGGAAGACACACAAATGTGTGCAGAACATGAATATTTTCTCTCTGGTCTTTACAGACGACTACAAGGATTTTGGAACTAACTGTGACAGCATGGCTGCAGAGATTGAAGATCATATCCTTTAATCTAGTCAATTTAGTCTATTTGCCATTATTCATTCAGTGATGATCCAAATAGAAACCTCATTTTACATTATTACCATGAGCAGATCTCCCTTGACTGCATGCTCGCACATATCTACCAGGAGATAAAAGCCACGGACATGAAATATAAAAACAGAGTCCGGAGCCGCATCAGCAATTTGAAGGACCCAAAGAACCCTGGGCTTCGCAGAAACGTGCTGGCAGGGAGCATCGAATTAAGCCGCATTGCCTCCATGTCTGCTGAGGTACAGAGCGCCGCAACTGCATACTAAACCACTGATGAACTCCTTTTTATGAACTCCCCTCTTACAGTATTTCACATTGTTCCCTCTGCTCCATCTGTTCACATTGTCTCTGTGTAGGAGATGGCCAGTGACGAGCTGAAGCAGCTGAGGAACGTTCTCACCCAGGAGGCCATCAGGGAACACCAAATGGCCAAAACTGGTGGCACCACCACCGACCTGCTGCAGTGCGGCAAGTGCAGGAAGAAGAACTGCACCTACAACCAGGTAAACGGGCATATGAGCACATTGTACATGAAAATACAGACACTAGTTTCAACAAAGCAGAAACAAATCATTAGAGAGAAAAAAGTCTGTAAGCTGACAGGTGAAATTGTGGGGTTAGTAAAATAAATGTCTCTTTTATTTTGGATTTCCTGATGATTCCCTGACCTTTTTTACAGGGAGGGTGTGCTCTAATAGAGTTTCACCCCAGCCAGTGGATAGAGTAATTATCTGATCTGAGTGCCAAAAGAAAACAATAAATGCAAAGTTTAGGGATAGATTAGTGCTGTGGTAAATCTGCTTTGATGGTACCATAACTGTTTTAGAAATGTTGTGCTCATTCAAGCTCCATGTGTGTTTCAGGTGCAGACACGCAGTGCTGATGAGCCAATGACCACATTTGTTCTGTGTAATGAGTGTGGTAACCGCTGGAAGGTAAGTCTGTCCCTTGCCTTTGTTTCAATAACTCATATCTTTTGTACTTTTTTGAATAATTGAAAAAATACATTGTTTTTTTCTCTAATTTTCAGTTCTGCTGATTGATGCCTTCCAGATGAAACCACGTTTTTTTTTCTGAGCATACTGAACTGCATATTTTCTATAATGGGAGGGGGGAGGGAGTTTATAAATTATTGCAGCTAGTGATTTAAACAGATAATAGTGTTCCTACAATTTTTACTTGAAATTTTGAGATTTGTAAGCATGTGCTAATAATCTGGGTTTGCTTTATATGGAATTAAAAACTGAGCATGAACGTCAGTTTGATGACTGTTGGAACAATGAGCAACGATCACGGTGCTGTCATGAGATCTAGTTAATATGCTATGTCATATTACAGCTTTTCACTTTGTACATATCTAATTCCAATAAAATTGCATAAATCATCTGTGTGATGGCGTTTTAAACTCACGTTTAAAAAAAGTTGTTTGCTAGTATGGTGTAGAATTTAAGGTACTTTTTAAAGGTGTGTTGGATTTAGTGGAATCTAGTGGTGAAGTGGCAAATTGCAACCATTTGAATACAGCTCAGCCTTCGAAGTGTCAAGGAGAAGCTAGGCTGCAAAACTCACGAAAAACACAACAGGCCCTATCTATAATTATAGTGTTTGGTTTGTCCATTATGGGCTACTGTAGAAACATGGCGGTATAACATGGTAGCCTCCATAGAAGAGGACCCTCTGTATATAAAAAAAACATACTTATTAATATTATTATATTACATTTAATATCTGCCAATAGATCATCCTAAATGTTACACACTGCACCTTTCATTTATTTGGGTGCAGTAACAGGCATACTACAGTTCTTTATATTCTTATTAGTATCTAAAGATTTAAATAAGCACATCTGGAACAAGTGAACTGGAGAAAGAAAGAAAAACAGCATTGCATCTACAATCTGCACTTCTTGACATGTTAAGAATAAATCGAGAATTCATTGCACTGATAAAAGATGTCTTGAATGAAAAAGGTTTGACTGTTGTTGGATTGTTTGAGGTTTTTCTGTTGCACCTCTGAAAACATACAGTAGATGGCAACCATTCATCATAACTCAAAACATAGGCAACATCAGCCCCCACTACTGATTTTTTCTCTCTTCAGATTACTGAGCACAAATTAGACGCTTGCTTGTTAGTGCCAGTCCAACGGGCTAGTGACGCCAGAGGGAAGTGCTGCTGAAAACTAAAGTCACAATGTTAGATCTGTTCAACAGCATTCACACATTTTCCTGAATATTACTGATTCCATTACTGAATCTGATATCCTTATGAGAGCAAAAAATTATACTTATATTCTGTGTTCCTGAAGAAATTGTTCCTCATACAGTACATTAAATGTGGTGGTCATGTGAGAAATATGGTCTCTGTCAGTAGAAATAATAGGAAAAGCTCCCTGACAGCCCTCTGGCTGAGTATCCACCATCTGGTTCCCTGTGAGTTGAAACCACATTAATTTACTTCTTCTGCATCATTTCCACCATTAAACGTCCTCTGTTGATGTGCAGGCAGAGCTCAGAAAGCATCAACACTGACTGTGTTATTCTACACTGGTGCATTGGTGTTACGATCATCATCGCTCTACCAGCCTGAAATCTGAAAGTGAGCTGAAAAATGTCACCTGAAGTTCAACCTAAATGTAACATAAACAGGAATATCGAAAAATAAAACCATAAAGCAAAACAGACTTGATTAACTAAAACTTCAGCTTAGAAATTCTCACACAAGCAAGTAAAATAATCTGTTCAAAGCCCCCAAAATCTCTTTCTGTAATAATTTCCTAATGGATTCTACAACACGATTCCCCATATTTTAATTTAATGGCAGCTGCTCTGCTCTGTGACCTTTGTGCCCCCAACAGTTGGTGAATAGAGATGTGAGAAAATAAAAGCTGTTGAAACAGTAACACTCTCCATACTATACCACAAGTGAATAATGATCTCAAGTAATGGCCACATGTTTTTCATGTAAATTTAAAATAATGTATTATTACACATTTACTTTATTATTAGCCTCTCTGAAGCCTTATTATTATATAAATGAATTAGCATTTCCACCAATGGTAATAAACAACATGTATTAAGTACAATGCGTCTACTTTTATGCCAATGTTGGACTTTATAGCTGGAGGGCCTTCAATCTGATGGGGTCACTGTTATGAGAGATGACATTTAAAAGTCTCTCAACCTTTAATTTATAAAAAACAAGTCTGTGGAACCTGCATTTACTCCAGATTGATAAATATCCACGTATACAGTAGGTCTATAAATGTTATTTCTTTGCCAGATTCCATCTTTACAAACAATAAAAAAAAAAATTCTGCAAAGTTTTGCCATTTCATGTTAAAGAGGAAGGTTGATTACATCATAAATCAGAAGAATGACTGAGTCAAGTATTCGCTGCATTGTAGTTTACTGTTGACACCATTCTTTGTGGTGATGCTGTGTTGGATATAAGGGATGTCTGTTGGTATTACGTCTGCTGCATCAAGAGAGAACTGAGATTGGTTGTGTCTTTTTTCTTTCGTGACCTATAATATAAATCTATATATGTGTGGCGTGATGTGCCATGTCAAGTAAATCAAAGACACACAGTATGACAATCCATCACCGACTGCCACATGCAGCCGTTGTCCAATCAGATAACTCCATCTGCTTCAAAACAACCAGACCTCAGGAGTCACGGGTCGTAACAGACTGTCAGTCAGGGTGGATTTACTTCACTACACTGCAACATTTGGGCATAATTACATCTCTGTCAGAGGAAAATAGGCGTTAGTGGAATGTTTCAACATTAACACTGCAGTCAGTTGTGTGTTTTTTTAATGGCAATGGTTAAATGCTGCATAATGCTGTATGCTTTGTCTTGAAACTGAGCTAGTGTCTTCAGGAGAGACACTGATAATCACTTGTAATCATGTGGCATGCACAGCTCATACCGATGTTGAATGCTTATTGCCTTGTTGACTTGTAGAAGTCGTCTTTCTCTGAAATGTTTCTCTGCAGTTTTATGACGAGTCTGTAACCTATCAAACTCCTCTTGGTGCTGCATGCAGCATCTCTATAAATGGAAATAAATGAGACTTTACGCAGTGTCCTCAACATAACAAAATCAGTCAGGCAATTAAATACACTAAACACTTCACCCTGACTATATATGTGCTATGAACAGTATAAAGTATGGAAGCCCTAAGAGGGAAATGAGAAATAAAAAAAAATTTAATTGTTATTTTCTAAGTCTGAAAAAAATGTGAAAAGGTTTTAGCAGGATGATCTTATTTTTTTTCCTATCTGAAACAGGTGGGAAATACAGCTTTTTCAGGATAATTTTTCTAAGCTTCTTTTATCTGTGAAAACAAAGGTTTTGGCCGGTGAACATTTTTTTATTGTGTGTTTTCTTCTTCCAGATGTGTTTTACAAATATTCCTTCAACCCTAAAACTTACATATTTTGAAAAGAGATTATGACTTTTTCTTCCAGCTTGTAGAAATGACTGAACATAGCCAGTGCGCACAAAGCCAAATGCCTCTAGTTGGAGCCCTGTAATCTTGCTTTTGTGATTTTTTTCCCCTGCCGCTGTAATGTATCTTAAAAGCTGTGGTGTCATGCCAACCTGCTGCAAGGAAACATTATCTCCCTGTGAAACTTTTCAATTTAGAACATCTGCAGCCTGTAAAGCATCCAAACTGTCTTCACCCTTTGAAATCATGCCATCCCTGCACTTCAACTCTGTGACTGTCTCCTCCTCTGAAAAGCTTGTGACGCTCTAAAATTAAACTTTTAAAAACTCATTACTGTATTGTGTAGACTGCATCACAAAATAATGGCCTCTTCAAATAGTAGGCCAATACTCTAAAATGTTTTAAAAATGGCATCGTCAGCTAAGCTCTTTTAAAAACTAAACAAACTAAAGGAAACTGTCTTTTCATTGTCTCTCAATCAGTATTTTATTGTAGCAGCAGTAGTAGGAGCATTTCAATTATTCTGGTGCTTAATGTTTTGAGACCTCTTTAATAACCTTGTGAGTGGGAGTAAAATGTTAAATGTTCACCTTTACTGCTGCTGTGACAGATTAAAGTGTCATGGTTGAGACTCCTGTCTTTCGCTCTCAAATAAGCAAATGACGCTTCACTGCTGGAGGAAATGCATTTGATGTCGAGAGCTGTCAGACTGTGAGGGAATATTCAGGTCCTGGATACACACCTGTTTCTTTGCCTTTGAGTTTATTTATTTAGAGAATGCAAAGTTCTCAAGCCGAGCAATTGCCTTCTGATATGCTGTCTAAATGATCCTATAGCATGTATACTGTAGAGGGAAGACTTTTGTGGTTATTAGCCACGAGCTGTGGCTTCTTCTTCATGTGCTGAGTCTCTTCTCAGGAGATTGGTGTCTGAATGACGCCTGTTTTGTTTGATATATCCCCACACTCAATCCTATTTGGCAGGCGGTGCAAATTGGACATCTTGACTAGAAATAAACATTTGGTGGACTAAAGATGTCTGACCAGCAGGAGAGTTCCTAGCATTTTGAAACAAGCCTTTGAGGACCGGCAACTTCTCAGATGTTTTGAACAAGTTGTGTTTGTCAGGAAAGGGAGCCGGGGGAGTGGCGTTCAGATATAATATGCATGGTTGCGTAATGCTGGGTGAAATGACCTGGACCAGACGGGGGCACAGTGGTTAGCTAGAGAGCATTTGAGGACAACCTGCGGGACTCCATTTGTATTCTGCACGGTTGTTTCTGGACTTCACCTTAACTGGCCTTTATTTCATGGCTGCATAACATGATAAGGTCCTATAAAGAGTCATTTCTAAGCACTGCAAAATAAGTGATAATGCTAGCATGTGAAGCAGCAGACACTGTTCTATATCAACCTTATGTTGGTAGTTGAAATGAAGTATCTTTGCAGCTTATAAAACACATTTGTTATCTGTATTCTTTCAATCAAAAAGATTGGAGCCTTCAAGAAACCTGTCTGTAGTCGAATTGATGAAAATGTGCAAACTTCAGAGCTTAAAGGTTTTCCTTTCAATTGATAGAACAGCTGAAAACTGACAGGAAAGCGGGAGAGAGAGAGAGAGAGGGGGAATGACACCCTGCAAAGAGCTACAGGCCGGACTCAAACCCATGGCCACTGCAGAAAGGATTCAGGCTTGGTGCCCCTGTGGCACTGCTGCAGAGCTTAAAGTTATTGACACAGAGATAGCGGCCGACTGAAGACTACAGAGAGACAACCAGCCAGTGTCTGAAGGGAACACATAAAGAGATAAAGCATTCTCCAGAGTTGCAGGAAAACAAGGAGACAGCGAGACACAACGTTTAACTTAAATCAATAAAGTCCGACTAGTGTTACAGGATGCAATAAGCTGGGCAACACAGTCAAGTGTAAG